CACCCACACCCACACCCACACCCACACCCACACCCACACCCACACCCTCAAATTCTTTATCACATTTTGATAGACGGTGATCTAAGCTAATAATTTACTTAATCATCATCCTTCATTAAATCTCTATCGAAAAAGTCGTTAACAACAAAAATTTATTTCATTATTTAAACACCACAAAGTTATAATCAAACTAGAGGCCTCTGTGAAGAGTTAGGATTTCATCTTATAGGGAAAACTGACTCAATAAAAAGTGAGTAGTGTCAAACTTCAAAGTTGAATTCAATTATTTACTTCGAGTGTTAAACTATTCTCTTTCTGTATCTTTCTTTCCTTCATCGTCACTGCCGTTCTGCTTGCCCAGTTACTTATATTCTCCCTGTGCTCTACGCTCACCTATGCTTTATGTTCACCTATGCCCCCTGTGCTCTGCGTTCACCTATGCCCCCTGTGCTCTACGCGCACCTATGCCCCCTGTGCTTTACGTTCGCCTATGCCCCCTGTCCTCTACACTCACCTATGCCCCCTGTTCACTTTCTTGCAGATGGATAGTTGAATGCGTAAGTTCAAGTGTGAGGTGTGGCATATATGTAAATAGTTTGGATAAGAAAAAGGTTCCAGAAGAAAACTTGTAAATTTTAGTATAGATTTTTTAATTTTATTATGTTTTATTCTTTCCTTTTGTTTTATTTTATATTTTTATTTTTTCTTATTCTTTCCTTTTGTTTTATTTTATGTTTTTATTTTTTCTTATTCTTTTATTTTATTTTATTTTAATGAATGGGCAGATAATAATAATAACATAGGATAGTATGACAATGTACCCAGATGGTCATCGTCAGCTAGTTATATATGTATATATTTTTTTTTCCGTTCTGTGACCAATCAGATAAAAGTTCCCGAACTGAATCTTGTCTATTATAATATAGATTCTGTGTTATTGTCAATATTATCAACTGAGTAAACTCTCATTTGTGTTTCCTCTTTCTCAAATCGCTATTCTCTATCGCACAAATGCACAATCTCGTGAATTTGAACAAGCATTATCTAATCAATGAATTTGATTTACTTAATAATAGATTTGAATCGGACTCACTTACAATAAATCTCAAGAAATATCCCGCTATATTATGGTTTAGTTGATAGTGATGGCAAACAAGCGAAAAATATTCCAGACATTTAACGATATACTTTTATTTCTTATCCTCGTTTAATTTGTCTATTCCATTACTGTCCATCGATTTCCCTTTAATTCCAATTCCTTCTCTTTTACTTTTTCTTTTTCTTTTTCTTTTTCTTTTTCTGTTCTATTTTTTATGCAGAGCGTCCTGATGAGTGTTTCGAATTTTCAAATAAACACGAAACGCGTCGGCAAAATCACAAACTCTGCATTTTTTTCAAAATTTATCTGAAAATTACTACTCTTTGGCACAAAGTCGGTTGCTGAAAAGCAAAAGTTAAGAACTAGCAGATTGGTTTGTCTTTTCGTCAAAGGATAGATCGGTCTGTTTTCCGTCTGATTTTTACACCCTCACCCTCAATATAAACAGAAGCGCGACTGTAAAAATAAATCACTTTTCAAACTCGCTCATATCTCTCTACCATTCTCTCGCTAAGCGTTGAACAGCAATCAACAACAATGCAAAACGTCAGCCACAAGATTCTTTTGATTGGAGTCTTGGTTTTAGTCGTAATAATCTGTATGGCACAAGCGGCAAGTATTAAAAATGTAAAAGGTAATGACACTTCTTGTCCTCCTGGTTGTTGTGATGGTGCTGGTGGTTGTGGTGCTGCTATTGGTGATCTTTGTAGTCGTGGTCGTACTTTTGGTGTTTGTGTTGTTCCTTGTCCTCCTCGTTGTTGTAGTAGTCCTTGTGCTGCTGCTGGTTTTGTTATTCGTTATGCTAGTTGTGCTGTTGGTAATTGTGTTGGTGGTCGTTATGTTGATGCTGCTGCTCGTGATCGTAATAATGCTTTTTCTGTTATTTTTGTTATTGCTTTTATTATTGCTGTTGCTGTTGGTGCTGCTATTCGTATTGCTGTTTGTCCTGACAAATAAGCCAGGTAAGTTGTGTAGACTTAGTGTGTTGATGATAATTCATATGAGAATGTTCTCATATATTATTCCACTATTTGGGCGTTAGCAGTCGACCTGATACCCCATTATTGACATTCTTAGATACCTTACAGAGAAAGCTGATTTTTTTAGCACTTGTACTTCATACATCATACTATCGATCTACGATGATTTGGGATTTATAACACTGAGGACAAGAGTAATCAAGTACTCTCTAAAAAATGTCCGTTTCCTAGAAAACCTTTTCTTTTAGATTTACGAGTTTCGGAAACCAGAAAAAGGTTTCAGGGACTGATTCGGATACCCAAAAAAAGGGTTTTCTAGGAAACGGACATTTTTTTAGAGAGTACGTCCTTATATATATTGTCTTACGTGCTTTTACGATGGAAGCACGTGTAAGACAATAACTATAAGGACGTACTTAATTACTCTTATCTTCAGTGTTATAAATCCCAAATCATCGTAGATCGATAGTATTATGTATGAAGTACAAGTGCTAAAAAAATCAGCTTTCTCTGTAAGGTAT